AAAAAAAAAAAAAAAAAAAGAACAGGAGGCAAGGAGAGGTCCCAGCTGCCTGGAGGTGACCCACTGGGGTCACAGCCCATTGGCCAGGACTGGTCACATGACTCCCCCCAAGTGCAAGGGAAGCTGAAAATGAGGCCATATCCGGAGCATTTTCCCCTTCCTCCTGTAAAGCATGTGCAGGAGGAAGGAGGGGACATTTGAGGAGCAGCAGGTGGACTGGTCAGAGGCCAAAGCCCCTGTTACTGGTGTGGACTTACAGTAATGTTTCATCAGTTTTCTCTTTTGTATTGTTTTGTTTTTGTTCATTTTTGTCATTGGGTAATGAGACAGGGAAGGAACAGGTGGGTGTTTAAGGTTTGGTTTTTAGCTCCTGGCCTTGAGCCATTTACCAGAGTGCACTGGGCTGTGCCTGTGCTAGGAGCTGTACATGGACTGCTCCATCTCATTAGGGCTCATACAGCCACAGGACTGCAGGGACCACAGAGAAGACTGAATTCCACCTGGCTTCACCGTTTTCCAGCACAGAAGCCAATGGGACCTTTCCACAATGGTACACTGGAGTGGTGGCTCACAGGGCAGAGGGGAAACACTAGCTGAAGAGGAAACACCCACCATGGATGGGTCAGGGTGGGACAGGGTGGTGTGTCCTTGGCACACAGTGTGATGTATGTTCGTTGCTGCTGGTGTTTGATTGCACAGGTTTCTAAAGGTTTGAGATCTTGGTGTCTTCAGATGACTGCTTCTGTTTTCCCCAAACCCCTCTACTCCCTCTTGTTCTGCACTCATCTGTCCCCTGAGTCTCCTGATGGCAGATGGGTCTTTGCTGGTGTCATGCCTCTCTGAAAACAGGCTTTTGGGTGATGTGGGCTGTCAAGGATGGCCACAGAGCAATGAGGATTACTGACCTGAGCCTCACCCATCCTTTCCACCTCCCAAATCAGCAGATGTGGGGTGGGACCCTGAATGTCCCCTCCACCTCACACTGCACCTGGCCACAGGTCTTCCAGTGAGTACAGTTTCTCTAGGTCTTGGTTTCTCCACATCCTTCTCTCTCTTCCCTCACATGTCTGAAATGGGTACAGTGGCATAGACTCTCACATTTTAAGGTCCCATTTCCCCTGCAGCAGAGCAGAGAGCTAGATCTCCCCCATTTAAATTCCTTGGGGAGGCCTGCCCTGAAATGCAACCACACAGATTGAGATAGATGATCCAGTGGGCACTTTATTGTCATTAGGGGTGACTCTTGTAGACAGGGCAGGGTGCCTAGAGGGTTACACAGGAGCCACAGCTTCCAAGATAATGTCTATTCCCAAATGCATCCATGCCAACAGCCACCCGCAGCACTGGATTTTTCCAGAGCAATGTCCCCAGGAGTACAGTGTGCGAAGGCTCTGCCCACCTGCAGGAGGAGCCCCAGAAGCCCAGAACTGGGGCTGGGGCAGGGCACTCACTGAGTCTGGTCACATGCAGCAGGGGACAGGAACTGGGCATGGACATCCTGGCACCTGCTCTCTGTGGGGATTCCTTAGACAATATGGAAGAAAGGGGCTTAGGTGTGTGCAACATGAGTTTTCCCTCCTCACAAGGGCTGGCTGTTGCAACCCTGAAGGAAGGGCTCAGGTGTGCAGAGGGATCTAAGGAGGGGCTGGGAGGCTAGGAAGAGCTGGGGCACACAGGGCTCAGATGTGCTTGCACCCCAACTCCATACCCAGGAAGCAAGACTCATGCTTCCAGGGGCTCCCTAGCCCACGATGCTCTCCGCCCTGGATGCTGCCTCTTCTCCTGGGTCCCCTGGCCTTGGCTTAGCTCATCCAGGAGGCCCAACAGTAGGCTGGCTTGGCCACAGGTACTCCAGGACCCACAGGGCCCTCCTGGGGCCCTCTTGCCAGGGTGTTGGCGCTTCTCGGGCGTCAGTGCCCTCTCTGTGTCCTCTTCCACATCCTCCTCTTCCCAGCTCCTCTGACTGAGGGGATCCACCAGCCTTCGGCCTGGGTGCTGCCTCTTGGTGACCGGGTACTCCAGCCAAGGTGAGCGCCGGCCAGGGTGCTGCCGCTTGTGGAGACCTAGAGCGCCCCCTTCCTCGCTCTCCTCTTGAGTTCCTTCCTCAGTGTCCTCCTCCCTTTTACCTGGGTGCTGACGCTTGAAGAGCCAGTCTGGCTGCGGGACCTGGGACTCTAGGGGCAGAGAGGAGTATGAGGGATGTGTCTGAGGGACTCTCCCAGGGACACACAGAGGGGCCAATCCCTGCTCCATCCCCCTCCAACCGTATGACCTTTGGGAGGTCCTGCAACCTCCCTGAGCCTCCATTTCCTTGGGTGTAAAATGGTACACCCAGCACTAGGAGGCTGCCAGCAAACTGAAACAGCATGACTGGAGTTTAGATGCCTAGGGTGCAATATTTATAGCTGTCACATGTGAGTTGGGGAAGTCCCTATAGACCCTTACTGAAGGTCCATTCTGGCTGAAACAGGAGGAAGCTGACCATGAGAAGAGGGGATGGGGTGGGGGGGGTAGGAGCTCCCTTGCTCACCATGCTGGACAACAGGCACCCCTGGCAGCCCCTGGAGGTCTTCCTGGAGGAGGAGCAGGCGCTCTGCCTGCTGTAGGAGGTCATCCAGGCCAGGACCCTCAGCCATCACTGCTGCTTCCTGCTGGGTACGGCCCCCTGGGACACCGATCAGGATCAGGGCCAGGGTGAGGAGACACCAAGGGCCAGGCATCACGGTGTCTGGGGACAAGGACAGGAGGTCTGAGCACACTGCTCCCTACTCCCTCCAGCTCCCTGCTCTTACACACTGCTCCCCTCCTAAGCAGGACCCTCTGCACCTCCTATCCCTGTCATCTGTCTTGAAGCCCAGGGCCCCTCCCTGCTGCCCCCACCCAGGTCACACTGGCCAACTCTCCCCAGGATCCAGGCTGTTGTCCAGTGCCCCCCTCCGGCCCCTGCAAGCCTGCTGTTCTGATGCTCCCCTCCCCAAGGACCAGGTGCCGGGTATTGCTCACATGGGCACCGATGGGTCTCTGTCAGCCAGAGACCCAGGTTTGGAGCTGCATTCCATGCAGCGCTGAACCCTAAGACCAGGGTGAGGAGCCCGGGTCAAGGATCCCTAGTGTTAACCTGCAGGGCGCTCTGGCACCCCTGCTGGTTGGGTCCCAGTCCCCTACACCTGTCACCTTGAGTCAGGGTCCAGGGTCCAGGGTCCAGGGTCCTGTGGGCTAGGACTTGGGGTCTCACCTGCAGAGGCTCCGGGGCAGAGAGTCTTGGGTGCAGGGTCCAGTCCGGGTGCTGTCCTGGTCCGGGCGAGGCGTCTGTGGCCAGCGCTGTTCCTCTTATATGCAAAGGAGGTGGGGAGGGACCGGGAGGGGCGGGGGTCCGCAGTCCTGGAGACTTTCGGTGGGCGGGCAGAGAGAGGAAGGGAGGGACTGAGAGGAGACAAAGGAGCAGACGCAGAGGAAAGGACCCGAAAGACGCAGGGGGAGGGGGGACTCCGATCTTGTCTGCTCTGCTCCTGGAGGCCTCTCCTCCCCACCTCCTCACCTCTCTTCTCATCTGTTCGATGGACAGAGAGGACCATTGTCGGGATTCCAAACCAGTGGCCTTTAGATACATCCAGGTCTTGGACGGTTTTCCTACAATGCTGGGAAATGTCTGAAGAAACATCATTTTAAGACCAGGAAAACTTAGGGGAAAGTGGGTTTATGGCTTCTCCTGAGAAAGAGGCAGGTTTCCTGTTAGCGAGGGCAGGGGCCACGCTGGTCTGGTCGCTCCCCACCCCTCCCCAGTGTCCCCAGTGCTGCAGGTCTTAGAGGAAGGGAGTCTACTGGAGCCCCTCCACCCAGCAGAGGAGGTGTTGGGGCCAGTGGGGGGATAGGTGCAACATCAGGAGCATGTCCCCAGCCAGTCCCCAGGGCCTGGCCCTTGCACAAGGGTGGGGAGACCACAGGTCGAGCGTGGTCAGCAGAGGCTCAGTTCTATGTGTCCATGGGTTGGTGATGCCAACCTCTTGATTTGGGCACAGATTCAGGAGCTAGGGAGTTGGGGTGATGGGCTGAGGTGCTGAGTGTCCCCACAGGGTAACACCAGCTAGTCAGGACTGTGTGCAGGTTTGAGGTGCTAGGATGGAAGTTAGAGCCACCAGGGCTTTGAGAGGCTTCCAGGAGGTTCCTAGGGCGGTATCAAGCGCCGCTGTCCCATGTCCCCCATGCATGGCTGCTGCAATCCCAGCAGAGCTGAGGCTTCTCTCTCTCTCTCTCTCTCTCTCTCTCACACACACACACACACCCCATGCTGGCTATCTGCATTTTATGATTGCTCCTTCTGTGATGTCCAGCTTTCCTGGCACATCTCTGCCGACCCCTCAGTGGGATCTCTCATCTCAGGATACATGAGGTGAGGCAGGGATTGATCTCACGTCACAGATGGGCCAGGGCCTGGAGGCAGTGGTTCCAGCTGCAGAGTCCTCTCTGGGTTCCTGGGAAAGAAACCAAAGCCTGGAGACATGGCCTGTAGCACTTCCTGGCTCCCAGGGTGGATGGGTGACCCCCAACCAGACTCCATGTCCTGGAGTGTCACCACGCTTGCCAGGCAGGAAGTCAGACAGATTTCATACCACACTAGGGGAGGTGCGTAGTAGGACTGGCCCTAGGGTGCAGTCTAAAATATGCCCACGTGTGCCATCCACAAGACAGTTCCACCCCACAGACTCTCTCCCACAGTCGCCCTGTTCTGAGGCACATTCAGTGCACCTGACTCATAGCAGGAGCTGCAGTGGCCCGGAGCTGGCCATCCAGAGCCATGGTGCCCCCCTCGTGTGCCCTGGGGGAGCAAGCCTGGGTGGGGACTGCTGCATGAGAACACTGTGTCACCAGCCACAGGCGTGGGCTGCAACAGTGGACTTGGCTCCTATGTAGGGAGGGACCTGGGGATGGGGAAGCAGGGGCAGAGAGGAGGGAGGCGGCTGGCTTCTCACTGTCAGCCCTTCATGCTATTTGAGTTTTTTCTCTCTGCAGTGGGGACTGCAGATCCAGAAACACCCCCCAAATCAAGACAACAGTAATCCCATCTCGGTCTCAGAATAAGGGATGCACTTGTGGATGAAAGGAGGGAGCCTGCCAAGGCTTCTTACCTTGGGCAGGGCCAGGTGGGTGGGCAGGGGTGGGGACCCTGAGCACTAGACCCCTGTGGTCTTGGTGACTTTGGCAGAATAGCTCCTACCAGATGGCCGATTCCAGGAGAGTAAATAACCCCCTTTCACATGCAAATCATCTTCCAGAATCACCCCGGGCTCCTTCCCAGAGCAGTCATTGTCCTGCCACTGTCACCACTGCCCCACAGTCACTCTCTCAAGAGACAGGGACGGGACCACTGGGATGGTCCTTATGCCCCAGCCTGCTGAAACGACCACACCAGACCAATGCGAGAGGCCTGCCCATCCTTTCCTGTGGAAACCATAATTAATGGGGGCCCAGCTCTGTGCCCCTTGCCTGCTGCCTCTAGCCACCATGGAGCCTCTCTTGGGGCCTCGCCACACATCAAATAATAATCCGGTCTACACTTGAACTCAGCACTAAGAGGCAGCCACTCGAGACCCTGCTTCCCGAGTGGCATGAGAAGCTGAGAGCCAAACCCAGGGCCTCTTTTTGCCTGGTGAATGAAAGGCACTCCTCAGCCACCAGCCCAGACCCAGCCCACTTGTGAGGCTGCAGACATTTTTCTAGTTTGCTTTTCTCTCGGATAATACAAATGTGTTTGATCTGAGGCTGGCATCACTTATCAGATCAATATAGCTGTGCTTGGGAAAAGAGTAATGGGTGATTTAGTGGTGAGTGTAGGCACTGTGCCACTCTCCAGCCCCTCCATCTTCCAGGAGCTGTGCAGAGTTTCCAGACCCCACCTCCGCAGCTCCCAGGGCTCGTCTCTCCTGCTTCTCTGCTCCCAGTTCTGGGTTGGCTGGAGTGTATGGTAGAGCCAATCAGCCCTGAGCTCCACAAGGACCTAAGCCTGGCCTCCCCACTGCCCTTACATTTTGTCTATGGTAGTTTTCTTTACATTAAACATTTTATTTGGAGATCATCACAGACTCACCTGCTTCCACAAGAAATATTACAAAGACCCCCAGACATGATGGGCACACCTATCTCCCAGCACTTAGGAGGTTGAGGCTGGAGAATCACCATGAGTCTGAGGTTAGCCTCACTATATATAAGAGAGATCTCATCTCTCATCTCAAAAAAAAAGGGTGGGGGACGGAGGGAGGGAAATTAAAAAAAGGAAGCGAGAGGAGAAAAAGAAGGGAAGGGAGAAAAAGGAAAGAGCCATGGATGGGGGTTGTCCTGTCACTAAACTCCTTGGGGTTCCAGGAGCAGTTGGCTCAGAGGATGAATAGTGAAGATGTGAGCTGCTTCCCACACACTAAGGTGTCGTTGCACGTGGGGTTGCTTGAGATCTGCAGCTTTTCAACATCTGTTATTTAGGTCCTGTGCACCGCAGTGTATGTAGGTTTTGATGTAACACATTCCTGATGCAATGAACAATGAGACTGCTGTCTGACATGGGACAGTGCAGTGTTAGTGCTTCACTGACTACACTGTTGGAGCAGGTCTTTACTTTACAGGTGTTCATATTCACTTAAGAGAGTTTTACATTGTAAGAAATGAAGTTTGCTAAGTTATAATCATGAGACTTTGGTTGGCATTTGATTTCTAAGAACGTATTTTCCAAAAATTGAATGTACAGAATTAAAAACAAAAACAAACAAACAAAAAACTCCTTGGTGTTCAGTTTCATCTTCTCCTTGCTGACACATGAGTGTCCATGAATGCTTGTGAGGGAAAGGGCCTCTGAGCCCCCTTCACCAGAGTGTGTGTATGTGAGAGAGAGGTAGGTGATGGAGAGAGAAGGGGAGGACAAGAAACGAGGAGCCCCCAGCTTCCGTGATGTGAACCAAGTGCCGTGGAATGGTGCAGGGTGGGCCAGGGAACTGACGCTAGTGTTGCCGTAGGACCAGACACCTCGTCATCCATCACCACCAGAGATAACAAGCCCCACCTTGTCCTGACAGGGGACAAACGGAAGCCAGCACCCAGGCACTGATCCCAGGCGTGTCTGGCTTGCTGTGAGAACAGGCAGTCACTTGTGTCCCATGACCAGGATTCATCCTCTGTCTTACTTTTCTCATCGATGAGACAAAATACCAAATACCTAAAGTTAAAGGAAGAAAGGTTTATTTAGCTCACAGTTTGTAGAGGTTTCAGTCCATAGTCAGCTGGCTTCAAGGCAGGGTGGCATGGCAGAAGAGAAACAGTTCATGGTGAGCAGAAGGTAGCCAAAGCAACAAGGAATAGCCACAGCTCTTTCTGTTCATTATGTCTTATCCAGGCTACCCACCCTTAGGGCTGGTAGGACTCGCACCCTTGATCCTAGTGCCCTTGATCCTAGCTTTGCACCATGAATCAGCCTTCATGTCACAACTCTAGATCCAGCTACCTCGGAAAAGGCCCCACCCGTGACCCCATAGGGCTTTGGAGGACATCTAGACACAAGTGTCACATTGCTGGAGCTGTGGTATTTGCAGCATATGAATGGGATGGTGTGGAAATGCAGTGATGATAGTGAATGGTGACGGAGAACTTCATGTGGCCCAGAGAGATGGCACTTTCCTCCTGGGCCTGGGTGTCCTCATATTGCCCATGAAAACTCATGCATGTCTGAGTGGACTCTCCATGTCTGTGTTGAGGGCAGGCTCAGAAGAGCTGCTGGGGCCATTGTCACTTCAGGAAATGATCCTGCTGTGTGCAACACCACCAGAAAATTCCCTGGAACCCAGGTTGTGGGTCTTCTATGCCATGGGAGTCTTGTATAGGAAGAGGAGCAGAAATTCCATTTTGCTGCTGTTGTTTAAGTCAGTTCGAGCTGCTTTTTATTTATCTTTTTCTGAGACAGTCTCCTTATGTAATCCAGGTTGGCCTTGAACCCACTATATATCTCAGCTGCTGGCCTGGAATTTATAGTGACCCTCTTGCCTCGGTCTCTTGAGTACTGGTATTACAGGTGTTCACCACTCCCAGATTTTGATCTGCTTTTTCTGCCACTTGCAGATAGATGAATGACCAACAGATAAAGGAACATATGGCCAAAGTGGTGAGAGTTCCTCGGAGCTGGGCAATGTCTTGGCTCAGTTTCAGCTTTTGTAAAATGATGTTAATAACAGTACTTAAATATTGACAATGGAATGCTTCAGTCATTGTTATGGCTACTTCTACAGCATTTTCCATCATTTCCATAAA